TTATGCTATAGTCCCCCCCACCCGCCCCTGCTGAGGTACTGACACAGTACAGTCCTATTTCCTTTTCTCTAGAAGTTCCTTTTTTGTGTCCTTCCTCCCACATCATTTAATTCAATTCTTTGGGGGTGTTTCTTCTTTTTTTTTTTAATACCGTCATATTTTTGTCTTTGTGTATACATTTTTGCTTTCACTCTGAATCCCTGAAATTCTCTGGAAGACCAGATAAAAAGAAAATAACCTCAGAGACACATTTCTATTTCCCTATTCCAGCTCAGTGCCGGCTCACAACATCCTCAGCCGCTGTTGTCCTTTTGACTGACGGCTCCTAACAACCCCTTTGCTCCTGTGTTCTCTCACGCTGTCTGAGCCCAGGATGTCTCCATCTAGAAAGTTCTTTGTATTATTGATGCATCGGTGCTCCTACTGGGCACAGCCCTGTCAGAGACTGCAACATCAAAGACACTGTACACTGTACACTCTGTGTGTGTGTGTGTGTGTGTGTGTGTGTGGGGAGTGAAAATGTGACTGTGTGTGTGAGAGGGAGAAAGTGTTTTGTGCAAATGTCCAGTAGGAATGGAAACTTGTGTTTTGGATGGTGAAAAGCTTTTCCCTCTTGGCTACCACCTGTCATCAAACACCATATTTAGCATCCTTGATTTTCTTGTTCTTACTCTCCGATAACTTTCACAAACTACCAGCTTCCTTTCTTCCATGCTTCAGGAACGGCATGACAGCTTGAGTTTGACAACCAACGTCAGCTTTCCCTCTCATACCACCTGTTCACTGTCACACAGCAAAACATAGGCGCATATATGTCTTTAAAAAAAAAAAGATGAGACTCTTAAAGCGCCTTAAAGGGGACCCATGACTTGACATGTTGGAGGTGTGGATGTATCTGACTTTTTATTTCACCTCCCAGGTTCCCAGCAGCATCCAGACTCAGTCCCAGAGATGGGAGAAGATGCAGTGACGTCTGTTGGACCCGCTTCCCCTCCCCCGACCATGACAGAGGAGGAGCGTCAGGAGCTACAGGAGGAGTTGTTCAAGGTCAGGAGTGGGATCAGGGATTACAAGAGGTTCAGGAAGTCAAGATCAGGTGCCGGACCTGATCTTGCGGAGAAGGGTTCAAGTTTTAAAATAACCGTATGCTGTTTTTGACTCTGGTGTAACGTATGCGTGGAGGGTCCTTTAATTTCAAACAAGGCCAGGGTGTCTTCATACGTACTGCTTTTTGTACGTATATAAGAAGCACTGCCTTCCATAGCAACAACATGCTCTTTCAGGTCCCTTGTTGCCCCTGTAGCTGATTCAACCACTTACCTGGCTTCAGATGTTGGATTACTTGCCAATTTGTAATTCCCATGACGGCCAATATTTCCAGAAGCTGTTTCTCCATGATTGTACCCCTGAACCCTGAAGTGTACCATCTGTTGTGATTCATTGTAGGTTTACATTAGTCCAACGTTGCTAAAAAGTAAACTTTCTCAAATTATAGAATTGGTAACTCTAACCTCTACTTTGTATATAGAATAGCCAGTGGGATAGCAACTAACGGTTACTTTCATTATCAGTTAATCTATCAAGTCAGTTTGCTCTATAAAATGTCAGAAATGAGTCACAGTTTCTTCAAATGTCAGTCTAAAATCCAGATATGCTCACTTTCAATATTAAGAACAGGAAAGAGCAGAAACGTCTCACACTGGAGCAGGAACCAGAGAATCATTGGCATTTTGGCAAAATATCAAATTAGTTGCCTTTTATGTTGATCAACCAGTTAATTAATCTAATCTCTAACTCTGTGTTGTGTGTGTGTGTGTGTGTGTGTGTGTGTGTGTTTGTGTGTGTTTGTGTGCAGGTTGAGGATGAGATCCAGACTCTGTCCCAGGTGCTGGTGGCCAAGGAGAAGCAGCTGGCAGACATTAAGAGGAAGCTGGGCATCACACCTCTCAATGAGCTGAAACAGAACATCACCAAAACCTGGCAGGAGGTCACCACCTCCACCGCGTAAGAATTCCCCCACCACAGTAGCAAGATTTTGCCTCTTGATTTTAGGCCATTGCACCTTTTTTGTAGAAACCTCACAAACCCACAGCTTAATTATCTACCATTTTCCCAACATATGCACCAAGGGTCTGTGCTGATTCTCTGCTCTTTTGATGATGCTGAGGGGTTTTCTTTCTGTGTCTGAATGCCCTGGAAACTGTCAGCACTGTTGAAAGAGTTTTTTTTTTTTTTTCTCTGAACAATGAGGAAAGAGATGTCAGTGCTCTTGACAAGCTGCCTGTGTGTTTGATGGGTTTCACAATACAGGAAATGAGCAACATTCTGATGCTTTCAGGCAAAATGAAAAAGACATTCAATTTTCTGACAAAGTTCTGACCTTGATGCCTCTTTTCAGTCTTTGATCTCTCTGTCTGTATTCATCACTCTCATATCCTCTGTTTTTTGCGACCTATCACTTCTCTCTCACTCTCTCTGTCTGTCTATCAGCTATAGGAGGACATCAGAAACACTATCTCAGGCGAGTCTGAAGGCGACAGCAGCGTTCTCCAATGTGGGCTCAGCCATTACCAGGAAGCTGGAGGATGTCAGGTGAGTCAGGCAGGAGACATCAGCGTATATCCAATAACTTTAAAAGTTAATGATATTCCACTGATGTTCCACTGCACTGCACATTTTGGGAATACCTGAATAACCTGATATAACCTTATTTCCTAGAAATTGCCCGGAAATCTCAACGTGCTGACAATTTAATCCATTTAAATTGTCAGCACGTTGTGGCAATTTAAGTGTAAAAGCAACTTGTTATTTTACACTTCAGTTTGTGAATGGATAAAACTAACAAGACATAACATATTCATTCTGGAGCTTTACAGGGGTTGGTCGGTGGATTTTGTTCCCTTTGGTTTTGAGGCAGGCTACCTGTTTTCCCCTTCTTTGTGCTAAGCCTTACTAACTCTTCCTGGCTCCAGCTTTATATTAACAAGATATAAGAAGTGGTAATCGATTCCCTTTTAACTCACAGCGAGAGCGCGGACGGGCGTATTTCCAAAAATGCACACACAACACATCAATATTTGACCTTTGCAGGTTTCTCAAGACTTACATTGAAGAATCATTAGATCGTTTTCGCAGATCATGTCTTTTTTAATATTTAATATCCAGCTGCCGTGGATATTCCTGTCTTTCCTAGCCTTTATTTCATTTTGCACGTCATATGATGATGACATTAGGTACTTCCCTTAATAACCAATTTCACCTCGTATAATCTTTAAATTCCTATTCTAATTACATTACAGCCACCAGCTGTCTGTATTAACTCATTGTTATTCATATAAGGGATATATTACGGTAGCCATAGATCTAATGGATTGATTTTCCGTCTTGCTTTTCAAAGTGTCAAAGGCTTCTACTCTAATATCTAATGATACATTATTGGCAATATCCCCTGCTTAAATAAGCCTTTAAAAAACCAATAGCAAGTTGTTCCATTGGAGATATAACCCCAGTTGACCCCTCCCCTGCCCCCCCAGATCCTAATCTGTCTTCTCCCCTGTCACCCTTCTATCTATCTTCTATCTGGATTACTGAGCCGCAAACAAGATTATCAGGCCCCTCAAAGCACCAGTGTGCTGAGAAATGCAGCCTCGTGGATGAGCCTCACACAGCTGGTTTGGGGGTGGGATAGTGAAAAGCATCCTGACAGGGGTACATGATGTACAGGATTAGCACACACCCACTGTGTTAATACACAATCGATCTTAATGGGATAAAGCAGGATTAATAGGATTTATGCACTTAGAATACTCGCTCATTGAACATATAGTAGAATAAATTAGGGTTTGTACTGTATGTGTGCCTGTCTCTTTTGTTCTCTTGTTCTTTCTGTGTACAACTGTCTGCACTGTGCTAAGATGACCACTAATGCCCCCTTTCTTCTCCATAATGCTGTCGGATAGCGTGCGCTCATTACAACACTCAGCTAGTATGCCTGTCATGAGGTAAGGGCTGGGGAAAGGAGAAAATGTTTGGCTTTAGTTTTGTTTTTTCATGCTTATATATTGTACGAAAAGGCCGTAAGGGTAACCTTGAGGTTGCCAACAGCGACCACCGCTAATCAGCTATCAGTGAAGCTGCAGCTTTGATAATCTTGCCTGGACAGACCTCTGTTTCGTCAAAGCTTACAGCAGTCCGGCAAAAGATTTTATCTGTTTTATCTGTGAACCCACCCTCAGAAACGGCTCCTCTGGTTGTTTTTCTGTTAGAGTGGAAATAAGTTTTGTCCAGTGCACTCAATTTCTCCCGAGTTTGATGAGGTGCAGGTCTGGATGTGAGGTCAGACAGACATCAAGTGACTGTTATTTCCATTATCAATGAATAAATCTTCAGATTATGATTAATTGATTGAATCATTGATTGTTTGGTCTATAAATGTCAGAAAATAAATAAAAATGTTTCCTACAATGAAAGGTGATGTCTTCACATTGTTTTGTCCAACCTACAAAACCCAAAGAGATTTAGTTTATCAGAGAAGACTAAGTAAAGCAGAAGATCTCCATATTTGAGGGGTTAGAACCATTGGATTTTTGGCATTTTTGCTAAAAAAAAATTAGTCTATTACCTATGTAGTTGCCGGTTAATGTTCAATAAGCTAGCCGATTAATAGTTTCAGCTCCTGAAGATCGACACTTCAAAACATGACATGAATTCAAACAAACTAGTCTGAACTATACCCAACAAAAACATGACAAAATCTGAGCATTCATCTGTGTTTCTGGAGCTCCACAGCTCTTTGTAAATGTAGTATTTAGTTTTTAAAGTCTGTCTAGATGTATTCAGAGGTGTTATGTATCAAACGCAACTTTAATAAATGCTACAAACTTGATATTTTAGAGCAATATGTTGACTGTTGCTTCCCCTGTTCATTCTGCATGCTCTTGATTACGTGTTCATTTTCATGAAATCCTCTTAGAATGGGGTCACTTCAGAAACTCCTGCATTGTCTGTGTTCAGTATCAGATAACATGACCTCTAAAGGTGTGAATACAGTGGATGTTCCTGCTCCTTCTTCTTTTTTTTGCGACTTGTTGTTGTCTTCTTCTCCACTTTCCCAAACGTCTGGCAGAGTGTATAAGCATGTCCAATATATTTGCTGTTGGTCGGACTCTGATCTTATCAATTGTGTCTTTTTCTTACACAGGAATGCACCAACTTTCAAGTCATTTGAGGAGAAAGTGGAGACTTTGAAGGTAACAGATTAAAAACGGGACTAGTGGCCACACTTGGTCCACCAGGACTGTATACAGGAAATGTCACTAATTCAGTTCAATTGTATTTGTGTTGTAATGTGTTTTTACTTTGATGTTGCCCTTTAGCAGCTTATTGAAGTCTATTGACCTGATCAGGGGGTTTGAGAATTAGCCTAACTCAGTTGTAAACATCACCCTCTCAATCAGTAATATGTCGTATTTCTATTCATAGCTTTATGGATTTATCTGAGAGGTCACAGATAGTTCACTGACTATTATTTGTTCAGTCACTATAATTTTTAATCTCAAATTCGACCGATCGTTGGCACCAATCATAGCCCTCCAGAAAACGT